CTCAAACGATTGGCATTCATATACAAGTACACCATGCTTTGTCATATTCGCATTCATGCACGTGGATTCGCTCGCACGCAGATTCATTCGCAGTCGGACATACTCGCGCTCTGATTCACCCGCGCTCAGTCTCCCTACGTACTCAGATCAATCGTTTTCGTTCGCGTTGTGTACCACGCCACTCATTTCGGCACACCCCTAGCACGGTTCGTTGCCTCATTAGAGATCACCACCAAAAAAATGAATCACAATTGTGGTACTCACACCTGCATATGGTTGGGTCCTTCGTCAGGCTAAGTTGATAGGGGCGGTGGGGGGGCCCTTCATATTGTCAACCTTCCACAGGCGTACAGCCCATGCCAAAACACGATTGCGCAGTACACTTCGTTGCAACATATGGACCGTACGCGGGCGCCCCATAATAACTTTGCATTGCTTCTGTTTGAAAAGATGGCGGCGATGCCCTCATATTGTCCACCATTTGCAGACTCACCATCCCTGTCAACATGCAATGCAAAGTACAGCATGTGACAACATTTGGCTCATGCGCGGAACCTCTGCGATCGTCGTTTTTTTGCATTTGTGTTTTTCATTGATGCTCAAAAGGGGCGGCGGGGCGGGGCAGGTGCAGATTGACTACTCTGTGCAAGCTCACCATCCCTGACAAAAAGGCACACACAGTGCACGTTGCACGATTTGTGAATTCGTGCCGGTGCTACGGGCTACACCCTTCTCGCTGAATGCTCGGCGCTGCGCTTCCGAGGGGGTCCTCGCTAGCGAGCTCAGTGGGATCGCCCCCGCCCCCTCCCCCCCAAGCTCGGATGCGGCCTACGTGTTCAGAGGGCGGGCGGCACGGCTTGGGGCTTGGGGCCGTTTGCTCCCGCCCCCTAGACCCTCCACTTGGGTCCGAACGGGGGTGGGCGGGCAGGGGTTAGAGCGTCCACGATGGCCCAAGGCAGTTTCAAGATGGCATCAGAGAGCCTAACGAAAGCCTGGTGGCCTCCCCGATGCTTGCAAGGGGCCCCAAGAGGCCCCAAATGATGCACCAAGCGGCCACGGAACCCCTCAAGGGCGCCCCCGAGAAACCAACACCTTCCAAAACCTTACAGAAGTCAATGATGTGTGCCGACTCGCCAATTCGCGTTAGCTGGGCGCTTGAGGTCTCAAGATGGCGTCCACATGGCCCAAGAGAGGTCAACGAGGGACCCATGAAGGCCCAAGATAGCCCCAAGACCGCTTCAACGCGCACCAAGATCGCCCCAAGTGGCGAGATGTCGGGCCCAACCGTGGCAATCCAAATAAAGAACTCCCCGAGCGTTCAAAGACATTATTCATTGAACAACAACTGTTGTTGGCACCTGGGGGGCATCCTTGGGAGGCTGTTGAACCAACCTTGCTCCAAGAAGGCTCCAGATAACTCAAGATGGCCTCCACCACGATAGCGAGAAATGGTCCAGCATGGCTCAAAATGTCATCTCGTATGCCCCCAAGGGGCCCCAAATCCACCCCAGGACGGTTCCAATTGCCCATGCCGCCCCACCAAGAGGCCGAACATCCTTCCAAATACGGAAGAAGCATCTGATTATTTGAGTCCCGTCTATTCGCTTCCGAGCGGCTTCTGGGGCCTCAAGATGGCTCCAATCTTGCCCAATATAGCCCCAAGAAGGCCCAATACAACCCAAGGAGCCCCCGATACCGTCCTAAGCTGGTACCACACAACCGCTTTTCGGGCTCAAGATAACTGAGGACCCCCCAGACTTCCGAAAGGACCCCAATAGAGCCCCAAGAGAGCCCCAACGGCCTCCAAAATGGCCCCAAGAGGGCCCCTTAATAAGGACCAGGTACGTTGCCAAGATGCTCGCATATCCAAATATTCGCGAAAACATATATGGTTAACTTCTTGGTCTGATCAAGCTGATCCCGAGATTCGGTTTGACGATTGCCCCATATCTGCTCCCCTGCTTGCTTCTACTCTTCCCTGGCAAATGTATGTCGCCTGGGCATCGCTTCTGCATGGGCGCTTGGGGATATTTTTTTCGGTCGCGGCCGCGAGACGACGGTCAGGCGGCAAGAGCAGCGCTTGGGGATATTTTTCTGGTCTGCGGCCACGAGACAAGGGTCACGCGGCGAAGGCAACGTCCGGGCCACGAACGCGGCTAATTGGCTCGCTTGGGGGTACTTGTTTATTGGCGGCTCCAAGGAAGAGTCCAGGAAGCGGGGCAAGCACGTCTGGGGCACAGGCGAGATAATTGGTTACGAAGGCGCCCAGGCCGACGCAACGAGTGCACCTGCAAGAGGCAAAATGCCCCCCCACGCTTGGGGATACTTTTTTGATTTGCGGCCCGCAAGGAGAAGTCCAGAGGGCGGTATGACCGAGGCTGTGGCACAGCGACAGATAATTGGCGCGAAAACGCGCGAAGTGCACCTGCAAACAAATTAGGAAGAGGGGCGGCCACAATTGGGCAACCATCGAGCACCGGCCAACCCGCAGGTGGGGCCGAACCGAAACCCTGCCGGAGGCACACGCTTGGGGGATACTTTTTTTTTACAGCCGCAGGCGGAAGCGCCGGCGGCGAGCAGTCACGGTCGGGCTGCGGCCGTGACGAATTCCCGGGCGCGCGCGGGGGCCGCGGATCAGGCGGCGGGGCAAGCAGCAACCCAGGGCGTCTGAGAGGCCAGGCGGTCGTGCAAGCTGCAACCCAGGGAGTCTGAGGGGTCAGTCACCCAGGAAGCAAAGCGGACGCGGCCAAAATGGCGCGCCGTACGTTCCCAGTCATGGTCGTGACAACGACAACCGCATGGTGGTGGGAACCAACTCCGTGCGAGAAAGTCAGCCCAGGGAGTCTGTCGGGTATGAGCAGACCGAAAGCGTAGCTGACGTCGTCCAGCAAGGAGGGGGATTCTGACAGCGCCAGCAAACCGTCGCAGCTTCAGAAAACGCATCCGCGGCTGATAGGGTGAGCCTGAGGTCAAAGACAACTGAGACAACCTCACAACAACTGCTGAGAGATGCGCCTGCACGCAGGAGACCAGAGGTTGGTGTGCCGCAGTGCAGAAGTACACCGGTACCCACCAACAGAGGGACACACGGTCGCGCTTGGGGGATACGCGAAGCAACTAGAAAAATCCGTTTGACGATCTGTTCGAAAGTGCTGTTCCTTTATGCCCCTTCTGGGCCTTCTGGAAGCCACTCATTCACCATGGCCTCATGCACCTCGAGACCCTGGTCAGAGTGCGCTCCAGGACAAGTATGAAGGTCGATACCGAGGGGGGGGGCACGGCCCTCCAGAGACCAGCGAGGTGTGTGCCAGCCGTCCAGACGTTGCAGGACGCGCACGTGCAGGCAGGCCCCGAGCGCCCGCGCGAGAAGATTGGGAAGAGCCCATGGCCCACCAGACCAGGACCAGGAGCATCCCTGACCCACCGCCCTCAAGGTTCATCGATCCTCCATGCAGCTTGTCTGGAAGAAGATATGAAGTAAGGATACACTTTCGTTGGTCTGGGCGGCATTCTTGGGTCGGCGCTGGACCGCCCTCTTGCGGCGTCTCCTGCGACGCCCCTGGCGCGCTCCGCTGGCGAGGACAGGTGCGTCCAGTGCCGACCCAAGAAATCCATGCGGACCTCCGACACATGATGATGATGATGATGATGATGATGATGATGATGATGATGATGATGATAATTATGAGCACCATCATTCTTACAATAATGATGATGACGATGATGGTGAGGATGATGATGACGATGACGATGAGGATGATGATGACGACGACGACAATGATGATGATGATGACGACGACGATGATGATGATTATGACGATGATGATGATGATGCTGATGATGATGATGCTGATGATGCTGATGATGATGATGATGATGATGATGATGATGATGATGATGATGATGATGATGATGAGTACGATGATAATACGATTCATTCCTCTTCGATCGTCGCAATCCTTCCCGCACCCATAGCCGTAAGCCAAATTGTAGGCTCTGTGTAGCTGCACGCTGCCCGTGCTGGCGCATCCCCAGAAAAGGCAACCCTGGACAGCCCCCGGCCTCCCTGGCCAGGGCACCGAGACGCCAAAGGCGGCATGGAGGACCCGCTGGATTTCCAGAGCTCGATCAGCTCGCGCATCGGGCGTCCACGTCTTGTGTTGCTTCCATCGCATTTGGGGAGCACATCCCAGAGGTAATTTCGAGCACCCAGAAAAGTATCGAAACAATGTCGAACGAATATCGCCTCCCAGGGCCCGACACGTGAAAACCCTCAATGTTCTTGGTGCTTACAATACACTGCAAACCAGTAGTCCACGTCCAACATGGAACAAGCACGGAGTTGGATGGGGAGGAGGGGTGGCCTTCCAGAGGCGAGGCAGCTGCGATTCAGAAGCGGGCACCGCCAGAGCAGGGCCGCCCAGGGAAGCCAGGGACGCCAGGGACGCGACGGAAACAACATTCGATATCAAGGTATGGATTCAGGGCTGCTGGAGCGCTCTGTATCAGGGGTGCTCATGCACAGAGGAAATAGAAACCACGAGAAGCATGCCCATAACCGAGGGATACAGGGGCCCCTTGCCTCAACGGCTCCTCATCAAGGCTGGATGTTGCAGTGAAGCACCCGTCAGCTTCGCATTGCTGTTCGCGACGCGAATGCCGCCATCCTCTCCTGAGTGGCGGATGAGATCGGCACGCGCGCCACCGGGCCATGCACGGCAACACGTCGGCGCCTCCCCGAGGAAGCGCATTTGGTGTGCTTGTGCCTTGTGCTACGCCCGGTACACGAATGGGGACCGCCTGCCACTGCCTCGGCGCCGACGCCGTCAACGCATTTTCCAGGGGGCTCCTCTCAATCTAGAAGATGAGGAAGAGGACGAGGACGAGGACGGAGCAGGACGACATCGGCAAGGGGGAGCAGGACGATGTCTAAGGAGGGTGCGAAACATGCAATTATAGGGAATGGGAGCCTGATTTTTGCCCGCACGGACTTTTACCCATCATTTCACGACCTTTACTCGGGGGTTAAGCCGCTGCGCCTCGGAAAGAGCCTTGGCCCCTTCCGCACCCATCTTGTTGACACCGAGGTTGATATTGGTGATGGAGGTGTTTACCTTGAGGGCCTCAGCCACAGCCTTGGCCCCCTCCGTGCCCAGCTCATTGTAGCGGAGGTCGACGCTGGTGATGGACGCGTTGCCCTTGAGCGCCTCGGCCAAGGCCGTGGCCCCCTCCGCACGCAGCATATTACCGCTGAGGTCAATGTGGGTGATGGACGCATTGACCTTCAGCGCCTCGGCCAGGGCCTTGGCCCCCTCTGCGCCCAGCTTATTGTCTGCGAGGTTGATGCTGGTGATGGAAGCGTTGGCCTTGAACGCCTCTGCCAGAGCCGTGGCCCCCTCCGCACCCAGCTCATTTTTGTAGAGCTTGATGCTGGTGATGGTGGTGTTGGCCTTGAGCACCTCGGCCAAAGCCTTCGCGTCCTCCGCGCCCAGCCGGCTGCTTGCGAGGGCGAGCTCGCTCACGTGAGCATTCAAAGAGAGCGTGCGCTCGCTTCGCCGGGCTCGTGATGGTATCGGGAGGTCCGAGGCTCGCAAGGTATCCAAGACCCGGTTGATGACCTCTCGGGGGTCGCCAAAGGCCTTCCTGGCCCAAGGTGTCCCCAGCTTCCTCTGCCATTTTGCAGCCCTTCGGGACCCTCTCGGCCTCGTCGGGGGCGGTGCGGAAGCCATCTAGGCCTCCTGGAAAATCTTGGGGGCACCATGGGCCAAAAACACATTTGGCAACACCTGGGCCTCATCTACGGTCAGCCGTCGCGCGAATACCAGCTCCAGGGAGCCCCCCTCGAAGGTGGCGAGGGCCTGCGCGATATCCCGGCTGCCGTTCACCCTGGCGAGGCGCCCCCGCGGCATCTGCTGGTCTGGATTGCTGTCCTTCCACTCCGCAAGCCGGGTCTGCTGGGGACCGTCGGACGAATAATACGGCTCGTAAGTCTCAGCGCCAAACGCCACGATGCCACCATCATCGCGGCTCACCAAGCCGAGCTCGGTCAGGAAACCTCCGCTCTTAGGGCCGTGGGAGTCCTTGCCTCTCGGGCAGGGCAAGTAGTGCCATGCCACCACCTGCCGTCAGGTCAATCAATCTACCCACCGCAGCCAAGCAGGAGATTCAGTGTTTCCCCCGTCCGGGGACACAACAAAACAATTTCCCAGGGAAACAAGCAACCCATACAATACAATTAGCAGCACCGGGGAACGCGTCAACTCAGAGACAGGAAAACACGGGGACGAGGAGGATGACCCTGACGACAGCGAGAGAGAAAGAACCAGGACGGAAGCGAGGGGGCAATCGATGAAAATAAGAGGGAGACGAGTAAGAGGGAGGAAGGTGAGAGGAAGTGATGCGAGAGAACTACTTTATAGGGGTGTCGGAGCCTCCTCCTCCTGATCCCCTTTGCTCGTCGTCGTCCTTCTCCTCCTCACGCTTCCTGAAAACTCTGCAGGGGCCTACAGGGTGTGACGATTTGTTTGATAGTGGGATACTGAACAAACCCATCTGTCAAACATTTGGGCACAACAGTGGATTTCCCTCGGCCCACACTGGTCGCACTGAGCGCTAGGGGATGCACGCTTCAAACGTGATAGCGGCAATAACACAGGGCTCAAGACTACATATATGTATATGTGTAGAACTACATAACTGTATATATGTACGTGTATAATGCCGGCACCCAGGAGCGAATCTTGTAAACGCACACGCTGTCTTCCGGAATGAACGATCCGATCGTAAACCGACCGCACGTGGTGTACCGACAATGCCTCAAACGACTACATTGCGAGAGTGGGCGAAAGGTGGCAGCGCATAATCATGTACAGCTTCTCTTCTGGAGTAGGTCAGCACGCTCTAACGAACACCGAAGCCCCAACTGACCCTGAACTCAAAGCAGAGTTACCACAACATACTTGCAACAGTCACGGCTGAAAAATCAAGGACTGATGCCATCTCGTGCCTGGCTGCTAGCAAGCGTTGGTTGGCGCGCTCCATGTGGTCGTTCATGATTCCACTGCTACCGCGTTTGGTCAACGCGTCGGCCAAGTCGTGATGAGAACGAACACCCTCGGCTCGGAGGCCTCCTGTCCCTACTTCCTCTTGCACCGCAACTGGGCTACCTCAACGGGCCGCGTTTCACGTGATCCTCGTCCGCTGGCACTTCCAATCACGGCACCGACATCATTCGATCGCCTTTTGCCGCGCATAATTTCGATGCATGGTCGTTCGCTCTGAACGCAATCCTCACCCCACCGATCCTCCTGTCTCAATGCCGCAATACGCAGCCGCCCGGGATGATAACTCAACGACGCTGTGAGCGGTACTCCAAGATGGTCGGAGTTTGCATACCCTACAATTCCTTCGATCATATGTTTTACGCGTCCTCCTGCACCTTACGTAATCGATGTCGGCCTAGGCTGTCAGCTGTTGAAAAACCGAATAAGTCTGCCCATCATGAACGAATTCGAAGATCTCCCCAAACATTTGCCAACCCGTTTCCGGGGTCCTACTTGAGGGGGCGACGGATATCTCGAACATTTTTTGACGTATACCTTGATGCCCGGCCCGTCCTCTCTTGCGACTGAAGCACTGTATGTCTTAATATCGTGCTGTGGGGGTGGATGTTCGTTGAGCGCAGTTGCAAGCCCCGGAACCGACTGCGATGACAGCCGCGTCCGTTGCGGAACTGACGTCGACCATGGGGGCCGCATTGTCGTCGCTCAATTGGCCATGCACTTTCACTGAGAATAACTCGGCAAGCGCCTCAATCCGGCTCATTTGCTGCTTGGCGATGTTCTAAATTTTCTGCTTCCGAGCTAGCGCGCGTACGACTCAAATTTGCGCGTTGCCGTGGAAACATGCGCCTAGGCACGCCCTTGTGTTTCGGTTTTATACGTCACGTGCTTGCCACCTCGTTTTTCTCCCCCTTCTTGGGCGCAGCTCGGTGGCTCAACATCGTGGCCAAGCGACAGACATGCGTGGCCAAGCGCGCGGGGCTTCCCTGCCCCCCTTGAAAGGCACGCGCTCCGTCGGTGCTCCTCCCTTATACGGCAGTCGACGGCGATGCGTCCCTTTCTCCCCGCAGAAGTAATAAGTCCTCTCGCCGAATTGCACATGGCCGCCCTTGCCTCCCCCGCATCCTCTGGCCCGTTCCCCCGCGTCGCTGGTTAATTTACTTTGGGGCTGGTTTGAAATCCTTTTTGGGGTTCTGGCAACCTCCCTTGTTGCCGTTGATTCTGGGGGGGGGGGGGGGGGGGTCCTTGGCCATGTGGTCCTGTCCCTGCGTGGTTGCTTGTTGTGTATTTCAATTCGACGCATCCGCGCTGCCCGCATTTGTTGCATGGGCCCGCGACGCCCAGGTCTTGGCAACCGCGCTGACCACCCACTGAACGCTCGTTACCAAATTAGCAACCGTTGCCCCAATGTTCATCTCCACATACATCAATTTTCTAATGATAACCCCCATGCCCTGGCATAGGCCTTCTGTCTCAGCCCAGCACTCGCACTTATCCCACAGTTTCTGATGCGCATCCATGGCGAACGCCTCCGGATTGTTGAAACAGCGGTGCCCCCGAGCATCGAGCCAGTCGCCGGCGCAGGCCATGATGGCCTTGAATGCTGCAGCTCGGAACGGAGCGCCTCAACGAATAGGCCGACCCCTATTTCAAGGCCCTCGACTAGACCCAGCCATCGATCTATCTGGGCTATCACGTCGTATTATGTCGCTGTTTTGGAATCTCTGGCTAGGTTCATCTTGGCAGACATGGTGCTGCAAATGACAGCGGGGTACAATCTCTGCTTTTAATGATCTGCAACTGGCCATTCACTTTCCCTCCTGCCATGGCAGTATCCTCTGGGCTCGATGTCCTCCAACGCGTCGTTCGCGATGCACCGCAGGCCCGCAAATCTCAACGGAACTTCGCCAAACTGCGGCCCCCGAACACGGATGCTCCCACTGCGTAATTTTCCGTTCGCTTCGCGACGGGCGATTTCCCAAACTCGCTGGACATCATCCACCCGCTCACGCGCCTCAGTATGTAAGTCATTCCTGGGCACAGCAGCGCGTCCACGTCATTTCCGACCTGCCAGCTCCCAGCGCTACCTCGCGCTAACGCGCGGCTCGCGCCGCGCCGAGCGATTTGGCGCCGCCGAACGCACTGGGCTGTTGGGCGGCCTTGTGCTCGCCAGCTGGCTTCTGTGGTCGCCCGGGCCATTAAGCGCAGCTGTTCCTGACAGCTTCGGCCGTCTTGCTTGCGGTCTTCACGCTGTCCAGCATGCGATGGCGACGGCGGTGTGGAACGTCTGAACGTAAATGGGACCCATAAAACAGAACCGCCACCAGCCTCGCGCGCCCACAAGGCGCCGCGCGCACTCTGGACCATGTAAGATGATTCCCCTTGCCAGGGAGAAGCTCGCAGTCAGCGCGGCGGCCCTCGCAGCGGGGGTAGGCGAGCGCGAAAAAATTGCACGACCTGAATTCGCCAGCGCTCGTGGCGCCGACGCCCCGAGACCATCCGGCAAGTCGAAGCGACGCATCAGGGCGCGCCCCACGGCGCCGAACTGGCGGCATCCAGCCCGCGCGTGACGTAACGAGGGGCACCTGGCATTGAACTGCTCGCATGGGGGGCCGTCTTTCTCCGCGGCCCAGAGGTCGCGTCGCCCGAACGGTTCGACGCCCACTCGAGACTATGCGTCGACGTCCGCGTCCAAGATGTCCCTGGCGCCCTCGCGCTTCTCGCTCTCCGTCATCGGGCATCTCGCGCGGCCAGCGCAGCGTGGGATGTGCTCAATTCACTCGGCGTGCCTGAGCTCCTTGCTCTGATGAGTCCAAAATTTTCTTTGTCCGTCGACGGTCGGCCGGTCGTTGCTCGACGATCATCTCGAGCGCCCACTTCCAGCGGGCGCGCCAGGCCCTCGGCGCAACGGATAGGCTTCTTCCAGCGGGCGCCCCCGGCCCTCGGCGCAACGGATAAGCTTTAGGCCGAGGGCCTACGTGCGCGCCTTCATGGCGTTCTCCAGAAAAGTTGACGAGCGATGATTTTCGGACATCGCCTTGAAAGAATACAACGCCTCCGACGGCTGAGGGCGCAACAGAACGTTTGGCCCGCCGTCTTCCGAAACGCCACCACCGCGCTGCACCTGCCGGTCGCAAGCGGACGCCGCGTCGCGATGGGATGTCCACAGCCGCAGGGGCCGAACGTACGTAATGGCTGGTCTCGGGCGCGCCGACGAAGGGCCAGTCGCTGACCCCAGCGCGAGAATCCCCTCGAAAAGCCTGCCCCGCCCAGCCCTCGAGATTATCGGCAAGTCTGGCCCGACCGGCGCGGCCATCGCTCCCGGGTGCTCGACGAGGGCTGGGGGCATGAGTGCTTTGGTTCCCTTTTGCAATTTGATTGTGCTCTCTTTGAAGACTGCGTCCACCTCGAACTTCTCTCCGCGCGCTGCAGGTCTTCTCTGAGCGAGCAACTTTTCGGACTGGACCGCTCTGCTGCGGTCGCCCACATAGGCGCGCCCCTGGGCGGGCTGCCGGGGGCCAGCGCTGCGGTCGTCGTTGATGGGCCGCGCTGTCACCTTGTGGCGACCCCCTCCTTGGATGGGTCGGCTTTGCGAGACATGCGTTGGCGCGGCGATGGCGAGGCCCCCCCCCAAGCTGCCGCTGCTTTGACCGCTGCCGCCTCTAGCGTTCCCGAGCACGCGTTTGCCCGGGCAACGATCGCGCGATCCCCGTCGTCGCGCGCGCGACGCGTCAGCCGAGTGCCCCGCATCAGAGTTCCCACGGTCGGTTAGCCACCTCGTTCTAGCATGACCTAACATTGACGCCGCAGTGCGCCCAGCACTCTGGCTGTCGAGAGCTCGCGGCAGGCCCGTCGCAAGTGCGCAATGCCATCTGCGCGCAAGATCCGATCCAGCACTGATCGGGCGAATATCAGCCTCTCCCTCCGAGGTGCCAGTGACGCGCCAGGGACAGCGGCGCCCAGCGCGGCTTTTCGGAGGGGCTCCTGGTGGCCCGCGAACCCCCTGGAAACACCGCGCCGCATCTCGGAGAGCTCGAGGAAGCCCCCCGGGGAAAACT